ATGAAAATGGATTGGCCAATTTTGGAAATTGGGAGTCAACCACCCATTGTAAGACTCAAAAAGTGGTTATGAAAACCCTTTTGCTGAATGGAGAAGGGCATGTTGGAGTTTCAAGCTCTGCCCTTCTATACTATCAGAATAACAAGACCACCAAGCTTAGCTTGGCAATTTTATATATAGCGATAGGGATAAGTTCAAGATGAAGCTGCCAATTGATATGTGTGAGGGTATAAAGATGTTATTGAATGTTGGTTATATTGATGAAGTTGTTGTTAATGAATATGGTTCAGGGCACTTTTGGTTTATGATGATGATGAAAGTGTTAAATCTGTATATAATTCTGTAATTTTAATGTGGCTATGACTTGTAGTTATGAAATAATATATAAGATGGATTTATTTATAAGGGTGGTTGAGATGATTTGGTCCACTGGTGGGATGATGGAGGGAACAACTGGCAGGCAGAGGCCTCCTTATATAGACAAATTTGAGGGATTTTAGCTCCAGGGTACATGCTGTGAGATACTACTACAAAGGGATACATATGAATGAATAAAGGGACACACATGTATGATCAAAGGGATGCATACATGCAATATCACTCATACAAAGGGATACAAAATAACGTAAAGGTATTCAAATTACTACAAAGGAATTCAGTATGTAATATGCATTCTGTATTCATAATGACTATGGTTAGAGTGAAGAATCCAAGAAATATCCTGTGACAGGTTGAAACACGTGTAACTACTAAAATATAAGAGATAAAGGTATGGCTGTAGTGGGTGACTAGGGGCTATTTTTCCTGAGGATTCCCTTTTTGATGTCACTTTTATCATATCTTGAATTTATAAAGAGATAATAAGAACTTTTCATATTTCCTGGGTAGAAACATAGTATTATTTACCACACCGTCTGGAAGAACAACCTCCTACAGATGTCTGTTGATGGTATTTGGGTGTTTTCAACAAATCCTTGGAATTTGTTTTTCTAGACCCATAAATATACATGATCATTCAATGATTATGCTACAGAACCTACTTCATACCTGAATTTCATTCATGATTTACTAGTAGCTTCCCTTCCCCAAATTCTTAAAAGTGTGATGTGAGTTGATTGTTGACTAAATTCAGGGCTTTCAACAATAACAACATCAGAAGCTGCATTTGCACTTGGGCAAAAAATGTTGAATTAGATCACAACTGGTTTAATATTTTCTTGAATCTCTGGGATCATCCCTTTAGTCACACCACAGGCTCTGGTGGGCAAATGCTTGACAGAAGCAATTTTGTCTGCTTGACCCATGCCTCCCCAACCAGACATTTGGGGTGCTTCATAGCGGGGCCCCCGCTAGGGGCATAATCCCCCGCAGTTGGCTTGACTCTTCAATGTTGGCTTGCCAGCAGTCGCAAGGCAAGCTTGCTGTGGCTTGACAGCATTATGTCATATTGACAGTGGCTGCAGTACAAAAAATTAGTTGGAGGCTTGAAATTACTACCTGGACTCACACCTTCTTCAGCTCATTGCAAAACAAGACAGGAGGGCTTATCCAACATGGCCCACAAGCGGGTGACAAGATTCAAATTTTGTCACTTCTGCAGTGACTGCACACCTGAAAAACAAAGTGAAAAAAATTGAATTACACCATTTGCTTGCGGGCTGTGCAGCTGTGGAAATCATATCAAAGCATACCTGCTTGGTTTTGCATATACATCGATATAAACTTTCAAATTACCTGCAAATTTGTTTGTCTTGAAGATTTCTTTTTCTCTTTTTTTTCTTGAGATCGACACAACTTTTGGGCATGGAAACTGAAAGGGTGTAGAAAAAATTTAGAGCATTTCTTTTCTTAATTTTCAGACATGGGGTCAAGCCGACATTGGGACTTTTTTATCCTGGTGTCAGGACAACGTAGGGATTGTGGCTTTCCAGCCCAAAATTGACATTGGCCAAACCAATCTGGAGGGATTGTGTAAAAGTGGTTAAGGCCAACTGGTGCCTGACTGCGGGGTCAAGCCAATGGAGTGCCATTCCCAAAACTCAACCTTTGGTGTACATGTATTTAGATGATTTATTAAAACACTTCATACATTTCAAGCAACTGTGTCAATTCTGCCAAATTCCAAAATGACAGGTTGTGGAGATTTGGAAATTTCAGTCATAATACTTGTAAAAAGCAGATTTTCCACAGAGGAATGGTGTGGGTGGATGCCAAAAATGATTTACCTGGAATTTTTCACTAGCACACAAATTCACAGATTTATTGTCAGGGTCAACCTTCCATTTCCAAATTCACACTAAGGGATACTAACAGTAGGTTTGCTTTATTTCATTTCTGCTTTGGTTTTATTATCGTTGTATGCAGTTTGTTCAGTCTCAGCCTCAATGCACCCATTTTGTAAGTGAATTTCTATCATTTTTCATTGTTTTTATGATCCCAGTACTTGTGGACCATATTTTCAAGAGGGATTCATACTTGATGGTCAGGTTTGTATTCATTTACTGGATTCAAAATGAGGATTTCTACTCAGAAATGCAACTTTCTTGTCTCACCTTTCCCAAAGATTATTACACCCTTCAAAACATGCATTCACGAGTAATTGTTACAAGAAAACCCAAAGTTTTTTTTTTTTTAAATTGAAGCAACAACCCCCAATCTGTAGATGAAATAAATCTTTTTATAATAAAAAGTAAACCTATGAGATAGATCATAGAAGTTATTCCTTCAAAATTACCCAATTCACTTCAAATAAAAATTTACAAGTGCTTGTAGTTGACATGTGAAAATGGGATAACACCCTTTTAATATCACATGTCTGTAAGATTACATGCCAATGTACAAGGTTTTGTAGGAACAACTGCCTATAAAATCCTGAAGGAAGACAGATTAACATTTGCTCAATCACTGCAGGAAAGTTTTTGAGTTGGATGATTCATTGATCACAGGGCTATCTGACAAGCCCAAGAATGAGGGAAGATTAACAAACAATTCTTCACCGACCAAAAATCCAAAACCACCCATTCTTGCAGTGATGAAATTAAAGGCGACGGGACGGAGAGAATTTTTCAAGGGGAAATTTTGGGCAACAAAGTGATTTTTGTTGGAACAGTTCTGGGTCGAAAAATGAAGGAAAGAACTGATGTTTTTTAATTATCATGCGTAATCAGTTTGTTAAATAGACTACATACACGACAATCAAAATGTGGTTTGAATAATGAATATTCAGAATGCCACAATCACAATAATGAGGAAAAAGAAGAAGATATTTCAGAGTCATGAGTTGAAGAAAAAGAACTACTACTTAGGGTTCATAGACTACAAAAGTGTGATCAGTCATTCAAAAAACATGCTACTTAATACTATAATCTTGTCTCATGAAGAGTGATTAGAAAGAGAAAGAAAGATAGTTGAAGAGGTTATTTTAGGGATGAGTGGAAAAGACAACAAAATTCCAACATGCAGGATCAAATCTGTGAACATAGCTTAAGCACTTCCCAGGTGCTCATCTCAGGAGGCATACTTTGAAAGAAACCCCAGACATTTTGCATAGCTCAAAATGGCCCCTCAAATCAAGGTGCTTTGTCAAACTACCCCATTCCCGATAGCACATTACACTGCAAAAAAAAAATTCTCAAGGAACTGCTGCCGGTTGACAAGAGCATTGCCCTGTGGAAAAATCTCAAGGAACTGCTGCCAGTTGACATGCAGAAAATTTGGATTGTTGCTGAGATGTTACTCAACCATTACCTCAGCTATACTTCAATGTACAGTCAATGTGAACCTTGCACGATTACTGCTCAGAAATGCTTACATTGGAATAGGCTTCAGTATGGCAGAAGTTAACTTACATTGGGAGTAAGCTGGATTTCCAACAGTCTTGCGAGTTTTTTTTTTTCAGTGTTGCGTGTTTTAGCTTAGACCTTCTAATGTCAAGTCCTGCTGGAATCCTTGCAATCCATTCTCCACCTTCACTTATCCACATTTTTGGGGATGTTTTATCCCCTAGGGTGTCCCAAGCCTTGGGGGGCTTCAAGACACCCAGTGTATGGGCTGTAGAAGAATATCTCATCACTTTGAGGCTTTATAGCTTTAGTCTTCTCACAAGTACTAAAGGAGCCTTCTTCGATGATGAGATTTCTTTGAGACAGATAGAAGGGGACTGGGGCTGCATCAAGCAGCTACCAGCAAGAAGAAGGGGTTTTTAAGGCACTGCTATACCCCCGGGTGGGAGGGAGGATCTGAAAATTTTTAGCTTAAGTGAAGGGGGGATGTGGAGATGGGGTTGGGTAGCAGGTGAGGGGAAAGAACAGTCACGAGGAGAGCTGGCTTCTTAAAGGCTGATCCTGATTGTTTGTCGGCAGGGTTGTTGCTGCCGTGGTCTTAGCTACTGACCGCATCCGTCTAAGCCTTGTCCAGTTTGTGACTGTGTTTGTCATGCGTGCCAGGTCCCCATGGAATTAGACTGCCTCTTTTTATCGGCAATCCACAATCCAAAACCCCCAATTCATTCTGATCTTGTTATTGGCAAAAGCCCTGAATTTAGTCAACAATCAACTCACATCACACTTTTAAAACAATTTGGGGAAGGCAAGCTCCTAGTAAATCATGAATGAAAGTCAGGTACATATGAAGTAGGTTCTGTAGCATAATCATCAAATGATCCTGTATATTTAGGGGCCTAGAAAGGCAACTTCCAAGGATTTGTTGACAACATCCAAATACCATCACCTATGACATCTGTAGGGGGTTGTTCTTCCAAATGGGTGGTTGACTCCCAAAGTCAGCCATCCATTTTTATTATTGATTTTTGATCTTTTTGGGAGTTGGCTGCCCCCTTACACTTGGGGTGGGGGGGAGGGGCAATGAGACAGAAGGGCAACTTTTAGTGTACCAATTGACAACCATTTCCTTGTTCACTTGGCTCAATCCAGTCTCCACCACTTACTTGTTTTGCCTGAACTTTAAATCCATGACAAGAAAATCTTTCCATCTTAACGCTCAGATGACAGTTTCATTCATTCATTTTGCCCTAATGACCAACACAGATAAATGGTCATATATATATATAGAAACATATAACCTCTTTTTCTTTTTCTTCTTTTTGGTAAGTTGTTGCATGTGTTACAAGAAATAGAAATAGAGAAAAGAAAAAATGGGGGGAGAAGTCAGACAGAGAAAAACCTGATCATCATCAAGGATTCCAATAAAAAAAAGAGAAGAAAATTGAGTGAGCTAGAGGAATAGAGAGAAAGAGGAAACTATATTATAATCAAATCAAAAAAAAGGTAAACCCAAAAAGGGGAAATTGTTTTTTTATAAAGGAAGCCAGTCAAAAAAGAAAGAAAAAAAAGAGATGATTTTTCACAGAAAAAATGAAAAGGAAAACTTAAAGAGTAACCAAACAAAAAAAACAACAACAACAAATAATTAAATAAATAAAGGAGGGAAGGAAGCAAAAGAAGTGAAAGGAAAGCTCAGATTTTGTGCGGTTCGATACTGAAAGCCTTCAAGCCCAGAATTCGCCGGACATCCTTTGTGAATCTCAAGCTATCCAACATCGGCAAGAGTTCGAGCAATCCTTCGTCTTGAGGGTCGTTAAGCCATCCTTCGATCGGAATCCCATTGGCTATGGTGAATCGCAGGGGGTCAGTTCCAAGACATACATCCACTTGTAAGCAATCTGGGTCTGAGAGGGCGAGACTTGTACCTTGGTGTAGTCCATAACTGATCGGACTGTTGTCCACTAGACAGACTTTGCTCAGATCTCGCTCGACTACCGTCAGGTCTTTGACATACGATCCTTGGATATTTGTACACGACTAAACAAGCCAAGAAAAGAAAAAGTATTAGCCTGAGTTTAATCAGAGGTTAATGTAGAATGAATGAATGGATGAATGAGAACTCACCTCCCGAAATAGTCGTCCTTCAATCAAGCCTCTTCCTTGATCTAGCCAGTCTATTACTGGGTCCGCATATTCCCTCATCGAAGCAGTAAAGATCACCACAGTATACCAACTTGAAACCTACATACAACAGCAACAAACACCCTCACAGCCAGTGACAAAAACAAAACAATGAATTGGAATCAGTAACTGTAGAGGACAAAGTGTCAATGGAACAGCAGAGAGAATAACGTACAGTTTTCAAGAAAAAATCCACCCAAGGACGTTTGTAGACATGATAGACAACGATCCGACCGTCCAAGACGACTTCGACTACTCTGACCTTCAAGCCAGCTGAGGTATTAGATTGGTTACTCCACGCCTTTCCGCCCCCGATTCCGCCCAGCCTACTGGTCGAATGAATCAGGGTTTCGTCCAAATCCAGAACCAGGGTTTTGTTTCTTCTAGGCAGTAGTTCGTTGACTTTAAGGGTTGAATTCTTGGGAGTTAATTTCGACCACATTGATTTGAACAGTTGAGATTTCGGTTTGGTTTCGCTTGGTTTTTCTGTTGTTGTTGTTGTTGTTGTTGTTGTTGTTGTTGGGGATGGTGAGTCCGAAGTTGAGGAGGAGGAGGAAGAGGAAAGATTGAGGCCGAATAGGGAGATGAACTTCCGGATGAGGATGTATAATTTGACGCCAAGTCGGACGGGTAGTAGACGGATGAGATGTCGGTAAGGATTATAGGAGGAAGTGGATGAGAATAGTTTGATGGGTGAAGGTGAAGATGGGGGCGGTGTGGAGAGAGGGGTGGGGGTGAGGGGAGTAGATGATTGATTGATCAGATCGACTGGATCGTTGTTAGTATTATGATTCGACTGAGGAAGTTTTGTCGGGCCCGGTTCGAGATGGAGCGTCCTTCGACGCTCGGTGATTCCAGGAAGGCCGAAACGCAGTTCGCCATCGAGACCCATGCTGGTCTTGCGTTCCAGCTTGTTGGCTGCGATGGTGCCGCTCTGGCGTTCGATCGAATGGACCATCTTGTCCACCAGTTCAGCTTCGGTCTCGCGTGGGCCACTGCCTAGTTGGAGGCTCGCCGATGAGAGTGATGAGGAGGAGGAGGAATGAGATAGGGTTCCGGATGGGTTGGTAGTCGTTTTAGATTGTTCGCAAGCCTGATCTGGTTCATGGGTGAGGTTTTGAGACTTGCTGGGACTACGACGAGGTGCGAGGAGCCATGTGAGTGAGTTCATCTTTCTGGGTAATAGTGTATTTTTTTTTAGTGTACGATCACCAAGCTGAGTATGTACGTATTGTGATCTTGGGCTGGATGGAATGATTGATCAGATGATGAGGTTTAGTGTAGCAGATGGTCGGTCGGCAGGGTGCATGCCAGCTCGAATACAGAGTGATCTTTGGCCTGGACGTGATATTCTGGTGTGTTGAAGCAGGAATGAGGCGGGGTGGGTTATAAGTAAGAAGGAGTTCAGATCAGCATCAGCATCAGGGGTCTGGTTTCAAGTCAAACGTGTGGTAGTGTGGTTTTCAGCTGGACTTGAAGGACATGCAGTGGTTGAGGATGGTTTCTGGTGAACTGGGGAGTTGTCGGAGTGTAGATAGAGTGAGACAATTCATGTTAGAGTCAGTGCAAGTTTACAAGTTAACGGTGACGCTTGACCAGAAGGTTCTACTATGTACCACTGCAGCTGATGGGATCGAGGTGCGATGATGAGTCGATGTACATATGCACAGCATTACAGTGTCAATAGAAAAGAAGAGGAAAAGCAAGAGTGCATACGTACGCAAGGGTCCAGTTAAGAAAAAAAAAGAGTTGTATTCTTCAAGACGAAGTCAATTGTCGGGGTCCTCAGCTCTGTTGTTTGTTTTACTGCTCGACTTGAACGGAGTTGGATCGAGCAGATTGTGGATCTTTTCTTCGGAAGTATCGGATGAGAATCGTTGTGTACTCCAAGGAAATCCAGAAGAAAATAATTTTGGGTTGGGTTGGGTTGGGGATGGGAGTTGGAGATGATGGGCGCTGGATGGGCTGCTCTAGTGGTTTAATAAGGCCCGGATATGGAGGGAGAGTGCTGTGGGCTGAACTTGCCTCTATTAGTTTCCATTTCACTTGGGCTCTCATTTTTTTTTTTGATGGTGTGCTTGTTTTCACAAGATACAACATATAACCACTTGCAACCCAGCACAAGGCCAAGTGTACCTAATAAAGCTATAATCAGTTCCTTGTGACCATCAAGCTGGTGAATTAAGGGCCCTTCAAGCCAGGGAAGCTCAACTCAATCTTCATGCAGCAAGAAAAAAAGGGTCTGCCTTTTGGCACACCAAAGATTTCCCCTGTGTACAGTGACCTACCAGATGTTTATTGTACAGCTAACACAGGAAAGCTTTCGGGCTCCGAAGTCAGAAATAAAAAGTAAAAAATAAAAATCTACTGACAACAGCTGGAAGGTTTAGAAGAATACAGGTACATGCATGTATGGATCACCTCCAATCAAATCGGCTATCTTTTTTGTCACTCACTTTCAGGTGATGAGAGTAGCACCATCAGAATCCTGATGAAAAGTTCAGTCCAATGACCCTCCATCCTGAGGCCCTGCTGTGGCAGAGCTTCCCCCCACAGGGGCCGGTTGGGTCCAATCGGTGCCACTGGCCTGGCTGTACGTCCAAAGAATCAGAAGCTTTGGAAGATGTACAGGACCCTGCATGAGGTCGTAATTTTTTTGGGTCGTAATTTTCAAGCTTGCGAACCCGCAAGCTTTCCTGTGTTAGCTGTAGCTAGTTGGTTTGGATTATACAACCCCAACCCACCAACTTGGAATCATGACGCTTGGGAAAGTGGTATGAAATAATATATTTCAAAAAATGATTCTGAAATCAAAAATATGAAAACCTAATTTTTGAAATTTGCAAGAAAACATTACAGTGATCTTCTCCAAGGACCAGGAGGCCTCATTCAAGTACCTTCAATGTTTCAACATCCTTGTCTGACAGGGTCCCCAAATGGAACTCCTATACGGACAAAAACAGCAAAAAAAAATCAACTAATGGCTCAGAAAAAACGAGCTAGAAGCCCTAGTAGTGACACACCGGCCTCCTCTGCTTTGATGTCCAAGCCCGTTTCTGATGCTGAAGCCAACTCAACCAATACATCATCGGTTCAACATCCAATTGGTAAGAAGAAAGCCAAACTCCTCCACAAACTTGCAAAGAGGGAAGATAGCTGGAAAGCTATCATCACACGTGCTCACAAGTCAGTGGCAAATGAATCAAAACGCCAGAACAACATCTTTGATATGGAAGCTCGGTCCTTGAACAAGATGGCTCAGACCAGCAAAACCAACACCCAGGTATCTATCATGGACAAGGATCTATCCAATCTTGATGACAACTCAAAAGAGTATTTTAGATTAAAAAAAAAAGAAATATAATTAGCCTTGCTTTGCTCAAACACCTCATCTTCATCTTAGGTTCTTAGTTTTTCATCTCTAACTCCTCATCTTATGTAGTTGATTGATTGATCAACTGAACTCCCCATTTTATTTGACCAACTACTCACTTGTAATGTCTGCCTAGCTGTTCTACATAGTTTGTTGGAGAAGAAACTCAAGTGAATTCACATTTTTTTTTAAATATCTCTTTTTTATTTAAATGTCTCATTGTGCATACAATTTCAATCAAATGTTATCCATTCCTGTTTACAACAAAACATGAGAGAAAGAAGAAATCAAGCCATTTAGTGAGAAGAAAGAAATCAAGCTGTTTAGTCCATTTCATCCGCTTGTCTTCCTTTCACATCCCACTGATGTCTGATGAGATTGTGTTGCAACTGGTAGTGAATTTCAACGTCTTTCATTGATTGGCAGTATATAAATGAAATTGGAAAACAATATTTGTGAGCCTCACAATACTTCAACGGGAGTAAAAACTTTAGCCGGATTTTGATTGTACACATATTCTAGGTAAGAGGCTTGCTCATCCTCCACAATCATGTTGTGGAGGATGATACATGATTTCATGATGTTTGTGACATTTCAATGTTTCCATCTGTGTGCAGGTCAAGAGACAATTGCAAAGCGTGCCTGAAGAACACCAAAAGCCCCCTTGACATCTTTCCAACAACCCTCTTGCATCTTGACAAAATGTTTTTGCTCTAGTCCTTCAGGCCCCAATAGTATTTTAACAAACACAGCCCAATTTGGGTAAATCCATCATGGCCGTTTATTCGAGCAACATAGCTAATTGACTCCCAAAAATTGGAGGATTGGCTCCCAAACGTCCAGGATGTCCTGGGACGTCCAAATCCCCTATCTTTTCCCCCAAAGGTTTGGGAGTTGATCCTCTAAAACCATTGGTTTTTTTGGGAGTCGAATATACAATAAAAATAATTCGGGGGTTTGGGAGTTGAACCTCCAAAACCCCGCGGTTGTTTGGGAGTTGGAGACACAAATACAACCCCTGCGCAGTTGTTTGGGAGTCGGCGCTCCAAAAACGACTGCAGACAGGAGTCGGCACTCCAATGCCACCCCCAAAACTGCGCAGCCGTCTGGGAGTCTATCCTCCAAGATCAACTGCACAGCCGTCTAGGAGTCTATCCTCCAAGATCAACTGCGCGGTAGGGAGTCGGCGCTCCAAAAAGGAGATAAAAGAAAAAAAGAAAAAGAAAAATACATAAAAGAAAAATCAAAATGACAGAAAAGGGGAAAAATGGATGGAAAAAAGTCCCAAAAATGCACATCAATGGAACATGAAAAAAAGAAAAGCAAAAGCCAAAAAAAGGAAAAGAAAAAAGGTAAAAATGGAGGGCACTAATTAGAAAAAAGTACATCAAAGGAACAGGATGGATGAAAACAAATGGAAGGAAAAGCAAAAAAATGGAAATGAAAACTCAAGGGAGGCAAAAAAGCGCCAAATGAGACTAGTTACTAGCAGATCCCACGGAGAAAAATTAATACACCAAGCATGAGGCACAATGAAATTAAAAGGATGAGACGTGATGAAATTAAGACCACCAATGAGAGAAAAATAGGTACAAGGGCTGACTGGTCTTTGATTAACCCACAGGGGGCTATGAGGAAGTCAAACTTCAAGATAAAGAAGAACCAATTGTGATCATTCATTTTTTGTAGGCTTTTTGTAGGCTAGTGTTACATTGACTACTACAAGTGGCACCAGGGGAGCTTTGGGGGCACTTCCCAGGGAGTGCCATAGCTTAATTCTTTGTTACTTTTTGCCTGAAGTTCATTTGAAGTCATTACCATGTTTGTGTTGAACTATTTCATTATATAACACAATATATTTGTTAAATAAAATGTAACTATTCACTGCCAACTATCATTCACGTTTGTTGAAGCCATGCTGAATTCTAGTCAAACTCAGTCATGATTTTGTTTCTACATTTCCAATTAAAGTACCTTACATGAGGGTGACACAGTTCAGACACCATTCAGCTGGAAAAACCCTCTGGTCTGAACAGTGTGTGATATGTCACTGCAGTGCACTCGAGCGCAATCCGGTGACATATCACACACCTATCAAACACTGTTCAGACCAGAGGGCAATGTTCACTGGGTTCATGAGACTGACACCATTCAGAAACCATTCTGCTGGAAATGCCCCTCTGGTCTGAAGGTCTTGTGACAGGTGTGTGATTTGTCACCATATTGTACATGATTAAAATAGGGCAACAAGTCACATTCTGTTCAGAACAGGGGCATGTACCCTGTGTACATGAGGGTGACACCATTTGGGCCTCACTCAGCAGGACATTGCCCTCTGGTCCAAACTGTGTGTTACATCGAGCTTGTACAGCCTCTCCGTCGAACGCACGAAGTGCGGGAGAGGCTTGAGCCCAAAACAAACACGCTTGCGTGTCACGGTCAAGTTTTTTGGCTGTTTTTTGCGCCAAAAATCCTAGGAAATCCAGCTTGTAAATTTTTTGAAAACTGAGTTGAGGTGAAGATGCCCAATATGGTGGTCTTGACTTCCATCAAGAAATTTTTGAAAAAAATCAAAAACTACACAATTGAAGAATTTTTAAGGAAAATTTGCTAAATGAAAAGTTGGCTGAGCTTACATAAGCCTGTTTCAACCTCACTGCCTACCAGGTGAGAACATTTCCTCAATTTGACCAACTTGAAAAACATCCACCTCATCCAATTTCCAAGATAAAGCTCTGAAAATTGGATGAGGTGAGAGGCATCACCAATCTCTAAAACCTCATCTACTCAAATTCTAAATATCTGGTCATGTGCATGCTGTACATCCAGCTCAATGTGTGTTACACCAAAACTGCCCAACCGTGACACGCGGGCATGTTCGCTTTTGTCCTAAGTCCCTCCTTCGGAGGCTCGCGCTTCGCGCGAGTGGCGTTCCACGCCAGCCAAGGCCACCAGGCCCTCCGAAGCGAGGGACTTTGATAAGTTCGGTGTTACATGTCACCGCCTTGCGCTTGAGCACAATGCGGTGACATATCACACACTGTTCAGACCAGAGGGGAATGTCCACCAGTTGCATGAGGGTGTCACGGTTCAGACACCTAATTTCAGATGGACATGCCCCTTTGGTGTGAAACATGTGTGACATGTCACCGCAATCCGCTCGAGCGCAAGGCGGTGACATATCACACACTTTTCACATCAGAGGGCCATGTCCAGATGAGTGTACCCAGGGGACATGCCTCTCCTGTTCAGAACAGTCTATGATTTGTCACCCTATTGTACTCGCGTACAATAGGGTGACATATCACACACTGTTGAGACCAGAGGGGAATGTCCACCAGATTCATGAGGGTGTCACAGTTCAGACACCTTTCAGATGGACGTGCCCCTTTGGTGTGAAACGTGCATGACATGTCGCCACATTGCACTCAAGCTCAATGCGGTGACATATCACACACCAATCACAAGAAGAGTATGTCCAACCATAAAATGAAGGTGGAACATTTCTGGCCCCATTCAGCTGGAAGTAACCCCCTGGTATGAAAAGTGTTTGAGCAATGCTTTCCACTTTGATGACAAAACTTTGTAGCCAATTTGTATTA